GACGCTTCTGCAGCTGATCTGTAAGAGTAGAAGTATGTAAATAGTAAATACTCCTTGCACTTTTAATACTTGTAATATCACTGTCACGAGGTACCATTTGCAATAACCAAAATTCACCTTTTATAAGCTACGCACAAGTAGATTTTTTTTATTACTATTTTTAGAGGGTTTTTTTTTGTTCTCCCTTTTCATTAAGGAAGTAATCTTCCTTTGGCTTGTTTTCCCCAGTTCTTTTCAACAGTAAGTGATTGGCTCTGGTTAAATGTGAAGATCCCGCTAAACCAGGTGTCGTGTGCCAGCTAATGCTCAGGGGAAGCAGACATTTATTGTCCCAGCTTTGCAACAGGGTTGTTCCCATTTACAGCAGGCAAGGACTTCCCACCTTGAAATCCTGCAGTAACAACGGTCCCAGCACTCACAAACACACTGGTTTGGTTTCAGGGGGTTCAGCAGAAACCTGATACAGATCCGTGTAGAAGAATGTATCACATCATCACTGTCAGTGGGGATACAGTCAGGCTTACAGGGGGAAAATACAACAGCAATGATGGAGTGCTTTTACAGACAGTCTGTTGGAGGGGATTTTATTTTTCCAGCTTTTAAAGACATGGGGGAATTTTAGATCAGGAAAGAAATAAAAAGGAAGATAAAGGCTGATTGCACAAAGTACAGCTTCATTCTTTCATGAAGGTTTATATAAGGTTCAAGTGCTGAATAGAGAGAGCTCCCATATTCTGTCAAGCATGGAGATCAGCTGAGTTGTTCATCCTTGTTTCTCAGAAACAACTTTTTTCTCTCATGTTTCTCACTGCTGAATCAAGACCTCCGAGCGTAACATGCATTTCTGTATCATGGAACTTCCTTGTGAAATGTTTATAGGTGGAGTGAGCACCGGAGATTGAACCACAACGGGTTTTTGAAAGAAGCCAAAGCAAGATGTTTGTGTAGTAGCTTTGTTCTGAAGCAATTTTTTTTAAAAATTGGTGGCAGAACCAAAGCACACAAAGTAGGAACCTGTAATCATGCAGCATCTCTCAGTGGAGAGCAAGTACAAGTGAAAATAGTATGGCATCACTAAAAGTTGTCTGTAATTCAGATACTGGTACGTTTCACAGGGGTCACATTTACATGAAGATTTTCCTGGATGCTACTTGATCTTTGCAGCCCTTGGTCTTTGGTCAGGAAGGGTGAGAAGTACTTTGTCCCTTTCTGAGGGAGAAGGAAGAGAGATGCCTAACCCAGCATCTCTGACTCTTTACCCTGGCTACACAGGTGTGCCAGTCGCAGTCTGTGTACCTGAGAGTTCACTGGTGTGTAGTGAACTTTGCAGTGCATTGAAGATTTAGGGATAAATTTTAGTTAGTGTTCCCTCGAGGAGCAGTGTGGTTGACTTCACTGTCTCCCCCCTTTTAAAGCTGAGAATCTCTACTACGCAGGCAGTATTTGTGTGAGATTACTAATGGAATGTTACCTTCATCCTGCCATCGCATCTCTGCTTTCAAGACTGAAACCCTACTAGGAAGATGTTTGTAGTGGTTTGGGGAAATTGTTGGGGGGTTTTTTTGGTGGGGTTTTTTTTGGTTGGGTTTTTTTGTTGTTGTTGTTTTTTTTTTGCTGTCTGTCAAAGTCCTGTGCAATATGAACCCTCCTGGCAAGGTCTGGCAGTGGTTTGGAAGGGGCACTTCTGCCGAGCACTCCAGCACAGGCCTGGCAGTGGGAGTTGAGACTCAGGTAAACCAGGATTCCACATTTCAGAATGATGAGCAGACAGACCTGTTAATCCTCAAGTGTGCTGCACAAGTTTTAGCTCATTCCAGTGTTTTTTATCAAGCCAAGCCCAAACTGTTACATGTACATGGTGCCAAGCCACAGGCAGCCAGGCTCAGCACCCATGGTCAGCCTGGCTCACCCAAGGTATGTGGGCACAGCCCCAGGGCCAGCACTCCGTCTGGGGGTGGTGTTTAAATCATTTCAGGGCCCAGCAGTCAACTGTTCAAGACCTGATAATTTCACAGAGCTGCAACGGAAAATTTGGGTTTGTACTGTTGCTGAAGTCTTAGGCTGCTGAATGCGATCCCTGTCGTGGCTTGTTCGGAAGCAGAGGGCTGAGATGTGCCAGTCTCTGAATCGTGGGCATGGTGAGGTCTCTGCTTTGTGATACAGTCACAGCATCCAAGCTGCAGGAAGCACAGCAATAAAAGTTACTGATAGGAGTGCTTCTTGTCTGATTTGGGATCAAACGACGCTCTCTGGGTCCCTTATGTCTGGGCAATTCTGTGACGCTTCTTCTAATCATAAGGAAGAAAATGTAGGTGGAGCTAAGTGCAAATGTACATATGATGTATGTTCATTTACAACCAGCCAGAAAGCAAAAGAAGCAGTGGTTTCTAGTAATATAATTGTACTCAAAATAGCTTTCTATTAAGTCAGCTTAAAAGTGTTAAAGTAGTGGAGCCACAGACAAAACATTTGTTACCTTTTGAAATGATTTGCAATGGTTTTGTCGTACTTGTACAAGTGTTATAAGGTCAGCCTTTCTGTATGTTTTACAACTTACTGTAGTCTTCTATGCATAGCTGTTCCACTTGCCTGTGTAAGTTACAAATCTAACAGAAATGAACGCATGCATTTTTCTCTGTTTGCTGGTAACCTATGAAAATAGAAACTTGTATTTCTGTGTTCTTAATGTGTTATACTATAAACAAAATTCACAGCACTATTGTCTATGGAATAGCAAAAAGTTTTATTATAATTAATTACTTTAAATGTTTTGTCAATTGATTTAATAATGTGTCAGACATCTACACTAAGACAATATAACGTTTATCAATAAAAATATCCTCTCTTTGTATTACCTTAACATTTCAGGGTGTGCTTGGACATAGGACTAGAGCACCCCTGTGGATTCCAATCCCAATGATTTATTAATTTTTGGCTAAATTTTGGGAGTACTTTATACCCCTCGTTTGACCTGAGCACTGGATTAGGGAGTGAAGGAAGAAAAAAAAAGAGAGTTTCTATACATTGTACCATCTGTGCCGCTGGATGTGTGTTTGCTGTAAAAAGGTGTGTGTACCACAGCAGTTGCTTTGGAAGCCGCCCAGCACACGTTAGGAATCTGCAGGAACACACACTCTGGGAACTTTATTTGTTATTATAGAAATAGTCAAATTCTGCTCTTTTACAACAGTACAGATCTGAAATGACTGCGCTTGGCGTTAGTTAATCTCTTGTAGCACAGGGAAGTGGGTATTGATCGTCACTCTCCCGGCTGGAGGAACCCGTGCGTGTGCCGGCTCAAGCCCTGACACCGTGCTGATGAGAGCCAGTCCTTCTGAAGCACTTCCTGGAGTAATGTTTTCGGTAATGCTTGGAATAACGCTGAGGGGGCGGGCAGCTTCCCTCGGAGTGTTTGCGGGGCACTTGTGGGCAGGGCTGGTCAGAAGCCCGTGCTTTGAGAGAGGGAAATAACTTGTGCTGCTTTTCTACTCCGCATCAGCCAGGGAGCTGCAGTTTCCCCCCCAGCTCAAGTCTGCCCTGGTGACAGGATACTTCTTCCTCCTACCTCATCCCATGGACACTTCAGCTGCCCCCCTCTCCCACTGTACTTTCCCTGAAGGAAGGGCTTGAGATCCTGGAATGAAAAGGGATGTAACTGGGTCTGGCCGCCTCACCTTAACCGCCTTCACTTGTGTCTTTGTAACAGCCGCTGCCAAAAGGATCTGTTTATTTCTGAAGTGCAAGCCGTGTCTCCGAGAAGCAGTGCTGTGTCTTAGGCAGGTTATTTACACATCCACAGCTCATTCCAGGTACAGAAGAGTCCTGCAGTGCAGAAAAGGCACCCATGCTGATCCTGTGCCTCTGTGCACCAACACAGGGATGAGGTGCAGCTTTTGATGTTAACGCAGAAAATGTCTTTGATCAGTGCCAGCCCAGCGGTTGTCTTAAAAATATTTTCCATTGGTGTGATTGTTTGCTTACCATCGCTGTGTGCTTGCAACCCAAAGCATATGTTGGAATCCATACAGATGCTCCATCTCTGTAGCTATTTCCCCATGACTGGTTTTCTGGTTCAAAGATAACCTTGCTTCTTGTCACAATTTGCTGCAGCTCCAGTTGGCTGCTGGTCTCTGAAGATAGTCCCACTTCCTGCCCTCTGCCACGGGTAGGATTCTGCCTTGTGATTGCTTCACTTTAGAAAATTTTTATTGTAGCTTACAGCCTGGAAAGTTAGAAACTGGTTTTCAGACATTGGGCAAGTAATTGAATTTCTAACCACTTTCATTAAAATTAGGAAAATCAGAGCGTGAAGGCAAGTCATCATTGCTTTCAGGGGAGTAGATATGGATGAATATGTATTCATATTCATGTATTCACTTTTGGTTTTTTTGTTTTTTTAGAAGCTGTCCTGTGTTGCCTTCACAGTTATTCTTCAACCATCATAAAACCTGACTAAGCAAAGATGTGAATTCTAAGAAACAAACAAACAAAAAAAAAACCCCAAACAACAGCAACAAAATAAAAGTATCAGAGCAAAAGTACAAACTGATTAAAAGAAAACACACCCTCCTCTCCCACATGACTACCTTAAATATCCAAAACTAGAGCACAAATCCTGGTGGTTTTCCCCCTCTTTGGAAGTCACTTCTAGCTTGCTTTACAGAGGCCTGATTTGTATCTTTGCCACCTCAGGAGTTACTTGCTTTGAAATAATACTTGCAGAGAAAAGAGATCAATTCTCTGTAAATTGCAGATAAAAATCTCCCTCCCGGCTCTGCCCACTTGATTTTGACCTGTTTATTTCAACAGAAAGAGTGTGTGCATGCTGAGCAGGTGGCGGGGCTGCTTGGCACGCCAAGGCCATGGGGATTTGCGCTGCGGGAAGGCTGGGCATTTCCGTACAGGAGGTTTCCGTGCAAACCTCCCGGCTCCAAGCGAGACTTCCCACCTGAGGCTTCTCCCCGTGCCATCACGGGCATGCCAGGACGCGGACATCGTAGGCAGAATCAAATTGTTCTGCTGCCTAAACCTGGGCGGCCTGTGGGTTGCTGCTGGGCTGCACGGCTCCTCGCATCCACTGGGAGGTGGATGCACACCGGTGCTCCCAGCAGACTGTGCTTGCTGGGAAGCTGAAGCAGGGGCAGCATGTAGCCGGGTCTTGGGACAGCAGTGTGGAGACACGGGACTTGGCATGAGCTGCAGGTATGTTGGTTCTGCGTGGTTTTCCTCCCTGCCGCAGCGGTGATCAGCCCTCTGGGCACAGCTGAGCATCTGCCCGCTTCCCCTCCAGCTGCCTTGAGCAGGCTGCAGCATTCAGAGAGGAGGAGGAGGCTGACCTTCAGCCTCTGGCTGTGGGGAACAAACAGCGCTCTCTTTACAGTGCCAAGCGAATTGCTGGAGAAGAGTAGCACAGAATAAACAAAAACAATTGAATGCCACAGCCTGGGGAGAGCAGGTGCAGTGAGACCACTTCAAACTGTGCACAAAAGATTTTACAAGTGAGCCTTTGAAAAATGACCGGGGAAAAGAAAAAGTGGCATAATTAATGTATCAGCTGCAGTGCAAATGTCTCAAACAAGTAACATTTTAAAAAGAGAACTCTGCTTTGTGTGTGAACTTAAATCAACACTTGTCCTGCCTGAAATTCTTTTGTGCTGACTGCCGGGAGAGCTTGGATTTTGGAAGTGTATTTTCTAATGTTGCAGAGCAATGCCATCTAGGGCATAGGGCCTTACAGTTACCAACAGGAATGCTATCCATCCTTGGTGACAGAGGTTCCTGGACTGAATATTTATAATTGGTTCATCACATCTGCATTAGATCTGTTGAAATTTGTTTGTTTTCAATATCTGCTTCCAGTTTTCTGGATTATGCTCAGTGTCAGGTATCAGTGGGTTGTTTTGTCACAACTGGAACATAATGAATTTCTGGATATGCCTTATTTCCTCCTTAAATCCTCTTGGTAGCTTTCATGCGTGCAGCTCAGCAGGGTTTATTGATGGTCTCTCTAATCTTCAGCTACTCAAAGAATCTGCCTTGGCTGTGGTTAGAGCTGCAGTCCACTTGGGCAGTAGATTAAAATATTAAACCAAACAGGCCAGATCTTGTCATCCTCACCCAAAGCTACTTTCTGTGTGGTTGAGGCTCTCCTCTTCAAACCAAGCTGCCTCTAGAGTGCTGGTCTGTGTTAGCTGAACACACTCCAAGAACCTGGCCTGGTCACAGCCTGTCCTCCCTCCTGGCTAATGCAGCTCTCTCCAGGCTGAAGTGCCAAACACAAGGTAACAATCTGCTGTGTTTGGTGGAGGACTGTGGCGGTAATGACTTATGAACCTGGACTCATGGGCACATTTTGGTACCATCTCTTCCTCTTGCCTCCTGCCATTTGAATTCATAATGCTTGGCCTTTCCAGGGAATGGTAGCAATATTTAGTGGCACTTTAGACAAATACCGTTTGTCTCTGAAGTGGGTTTTGTTCTATATACATGAGTTTGCTTCCCATTAGGGAAGAGCAGGTGCTTTAGCTCTCGAACCAATCTCAGGACATTCTTCAAACTCCCAAGGCCATACACCAGGTTCTAGACCAGCCAGCTTCTGCCTGCTTCTGTGAGAGTTACATTTGCAGCTGATCATCCTCAAGTTACTGGTCTTGCATGACTTCATTGTTTTTACAAGCAGCTCCAAACCAAAGGCAAAAAATTTGACTACAATTTGAAATCATACTAGGAAATGTTAGTACTTCCACTAATAAACACAAGAGCTTTTAATGTAACTGCAGGAATTCTTTTCCCCCCACTGGAATAATGGCATTCTTGTTTCTATCTGAGCATAGAGGGGGCCTGATTCTCCTCCAGGTTTGTAGTGGTCTGGTTTGGCTGCCAAGAGGTAACAAAGCAAATGCCTGCTGCCGCCTTAGAACAGCATTGTCTGTGGGCACTCCAAGTCTGGGGAATGGTTATAATGGAGAAGCATAAAGTACATTAGTAACTGAATTTTTGTAGGGTCTAGTTAAACAGCGCACTGTCAAGACTTGATGCTGAAGTAACAAATAATTGGCTCATCACAGTTCTCCCTAATGATCTGTTGTCCCATAAATTGGTATGGTGTATGTCACTCCTTACTGTAACTGGAGATCTGGAGCACAGATGACTTTATTTAGAAAATAATTTTAAAGCCAGGCTACAAACACTGTGTTTTTCCCTCTTCAGTCTAAAGATAAAAGGATGAATCACAGTCATTACTTTCCTGCAAGTTAAGACAGCTGTGAGAGTAAGACTGGAAATACCACCCTGGTATTTTTCGAATGTGGTGACAGCATGCTGGTTTCTGCCAGGTCTCCATCCACCATAGTGAAGGCAGAGGCTGGTTTACTCAGTAGCTGGTACTTCCAAGTCCAAACTTGGATCAACTCAATTTGCTGTGCTTCAGTGGTGTGTCAGAGGCAGCAGCAGGGATGCTGAACTCGGGTGCACTGGGGAAATTCCTTACCGAAACACAGCTCCTACCACTGCTTCTCTCCTACCCACACAGTGCCACCTAAAAAAAAGATACGTGTTCAGCAGCAGGATCAGAATATGGTTCTGATCACTCCCAAGTTCCTGAGGATTATTCACAGCTGGTGTCAGGCACTCATCATCTCCCTTGACAGAGATCTCATCACTACTGCCATGTTACTTTGGCTTGGACTGTAGAGAAAGGAATAGCTTTTGGCATATACACAGCTGGAATGAGCTTTCATTGGCAGCTGGAGGCTCATTATTGCACCTCCCTTCTTGCTCCCTGAGCTAGTGAGGCTAATGGTGAGGAGATGGATGAGAGGCCATGGCCCTCACATCTTCCTTACACAGTGCTCGGAGAGGGCAAGACGTGTGTGGTGGTTCTCTGTTGCTCTGACTCTGCAGGGGCTTTCTGAGAAACTTGGGCTTCTGCTGCACGCCTTCTTTCGGAGCTGAGATGTCCCAAGTGTTTGCACATCCCCGTATAAGTACACATTCTGTTTAAATACTGTTGTCCAAAAAATCTCAAAAAGAGAAGGAAGGTAAAAGGTAAGTGATGCTGAGCGGGAAATACAGTTATGCAGCTTTTCCACTTCTTAATTTCCTGTCTGGTCAGGAAGTTTAGCTGTTGTTAGCTCTCTCATCAGAACCCCACCATGGAGATCTGTGTTGAGGTGAGGGAGTGTTGGAAAGCTGTTGGCTAGATCTACCTTCACTGGACAAGGCTGAGAGAAAGGGAAGAGGTGGAACAAGGGGAGATCCTGCCTCACTCTATGTTGTGGGGCAACAGAACAGGACAAAGAACAACTCAGGATCCCTATACTAGCCTAGCTACAAAAAACTAGTCTTGCAGAAAAACTAGGTGGCTCAGTTCCGTGGGGTTTTGTTCACTTGTTGGTTAGCAGGGTTTTTTGGTGGTTTATTTTCTTGGTATGTGTGTAATTATGTTCCCTCTGATATGTTCACACTGTATGAAAAAGTAATCGGGAAAAGTAAACAAAACATCTTGGTCTATTTTGCTCTTAAGCAGTTTTTGCTGTGCCTCCCTCATGCAGTTTGATTCCCATCTCTCTTCTCCCTTGCTATAAGGAACAGCTGAGTGCAAATCAGAACAAGAAACCCAGCCTGAAGCCAAAAGTACAATACACATAATGCTGCCAAGGGTAAGATTTGGAATGCACTGAAGTAATCGCCATCACATGCTACAAAATGAAACAGGCATTATGTTTTCAGGTGAGAAAAGGTCACTCTGAAGTCACTGGTGGCCATGACCTGGTTGTGGAGGCTGGGGTGGATGCACTTCCATGGCTGGGAGATGGCACAGCTGTTCCTGTAGTGCAGCAGCAGCAGCAGCGTGTTCAGCTCTCAGGAGAGAGATCCAAGCGACTCAGCTCTGTCTTTTCCTGTGGTGCAGTTTCTCTTCTCACTCCCACAGAGCTCACAGCAGTGTGACAGGCGTCTAGGGCAGGAGCCAGAGCAAGAGGAAAGTGTCTCGACGCAGGAATCTTGGCTGCCATGGGAGAAGCTAGCCAAAGGAATTAACAGTTTCTGCTCCTTGCTGCAGCTGCCACAGTGTGACAATAGATAAGCAAGTCTATGTTCTATCCCTGTGGTATCTGCTCAGGACACTGGAGATCTGTCCCCGGTACTGTGCTTTTCCTTGGTACCTGGGAGGTGATTTTTATAGCTAAAGTACATACTGCCCTGGCCCAGCCAACCCCACATTCCATGGGAAAGCTTCCCTCACCTCTCCATGGTTTATAACACAACAGAGCAGCAGCTCGGGGAAGGCTCTATGCCAGTCTTGTCCAGACTAGTCAGGTGCTCAGGGGCATCCAACCTTAAATTATTCTGCCTGCACATTGGTCTCTGGCCTACACCCATATGATGAGAAACACAGCCCAGCTGCTGAGGGCTTGGATAAAAACCCTGCTGTTCTGCAGGCTTACTGTACATATAGGAAACCATGCCAAGGCTATCTCACAGCTGGATTGAGGTGAGCGATCTCAGGGATAAATACGAAACACAAGCCATGAAACTTGATGCCATATCTCAGATTCTTCAAAGGCAAAGGCTTTTCCAGTGAATTTTTTCCAGTCCTGATAGCTCAGTTCCGCTCTAGTTTGACAGGGCTGGCTATGTCCTAACCTGCCTCTTGTTTACCCCCTTTTCTTCTCTTGTTTTCCTCTGTGGCTGGCAGTTCATCTCACTGCTCTCAAATGTTTGGCTGGGTGAGGGGAGCAGAAGTGTCTTCCCCTCCCTCTGTAAAAGGGTAGCTGAGGGCTCTGATGGCTCTACCAAACCAGGCACTGCAAAGCTGGACTTCAGTTCCGTCTTCTAGGCTCCTGAAGAAATACCAGCAGCTCACATTGGACTGAGACGTTAGTCACGATATAGCTTGTATTAAATGCATTTTAATGTCCCAGTTCTGTGTGATATTCATGCAGATGCAGCCATTGCCAGAGGCCCTGGAGACGCCTTGTAGAGTTCATCACTGCTGCCACAATCGGCAAGCAGGACTGCTTCAGCTCGTGCCAGAGTTCACCCCGCTCTAAAAAGGCAGCTATAGATTGCGTGGAAGCTGCAGCAACAGGAGCTGCTCAGCGGGGCCAACCAGGGCTCTTGAGCCTGTAGATAAATGGGAACTTTCATGGACGACATGGATTAATATAAAAATCACCTTCTTGGACATGAGACAGCATTCCTTTGTCCTGCCTCTTCAAAGCTAGGTAAGCATCCACTTTTCATTTTAATGGTCTCAATTTTGGAATTATTTATACGCCCTTTCAGCAGATTTTGCCACTGTGGTGTGTCAATTGAACACGTTGGTAACCAGGCTTGACACGGCAGCTGCTCCTCAGTGTGGTCACTGGCATTCTTAGTGGGCACTGCTGCCAGCTGCCGGAATGGAAGGGAAATGTTGCTCTCATTGTTTTGTTACTGAGATAACTTGCACGGAAATACATCCTGGAACGAGCTGTGGAAAATACACAGCCTAACAGCATCGAGGCTGTGAATGATCTTAACCAGGTTATTTGGCCCAAGTCGGAGAACCGCGCACATCGCACGGGTCCTTGGTGACTTGGAGACATCTGTGAGCCCACGCCGCCCCACGAGCAGGTGCCGGCACGCTGAGACGCGGAGCCCGCCCGGCTCCGTGGGTGTCCTCGGTGTCCTGAGGGGCCCTGCCCGGCCCGAGCTGTCCCCGGTGCCCTGAGGGGCTCTGCCCGGCCCGAGCTGTCCCCGGTGCCCTGAGGGGCTCGGCCCGGCCCGAGCTGTCCCCGGTGCCCTGAGGGGCTCTGCCCGGCTCC